TGGGAATGCAAACTACTTGATCAGAGCAGTTTACAGTACGTGTATAGGTTAAAATGTCATTCTCTATCCCCATAAAAAAGTCAAAGTATTACATATCAATCAAAAAATTGAAATAAAAGCAAATAAATGGTACCAGTCTAAATCCAAAGATCTATCAGAAACTTCTAGAGGTACCTTTTTGCTAAAAATAAAACTACATAAGGATTATACTGGTCTTCTGTAGGAGAAGTTGCATAGCAATGTTATAGCATGAGACACTCTTGTGAAGAGGTTTTCTGGCCTGAATGGAGTTATCATGGATGTAGTTACTTACTGAAACAATTCCATATCTGGTTTTCTGAGATTTGTTTGTCATATTATATTCTAACTACAAACTAAAATTTAGTGGAAATAGAACAACTTCAATCACATATCAACAAAAAGGCAAAGTACCATCATTTAACAGGCTCTGGTCATTTTGGTGCCCAGACTCCTTCAAATCAAAACCAGAATATGCAGTGCGATTCTCAAAGCTGCGTTCTACAGGGCTGTGCAATAAAGACATTTTTAGCATAGCGAAGACCATAAAACTCAAAATGGAAATCTGAATTTTCATGCCATTAATTTTTACTTATTTTTGTTTGAAGACTGAGGGGGATAGTTAGAGGATCTTCATCTCCTAGCTCGCTCTTCTGTGCCCACAACAGCCAGGACTGGGCTAGGCTGAAACCAGGAGCCAAAAACCTCTGTCCAGTTCTGCAATATGAGTAACAGGAACTCAGGTGCCTTTGCCACCACTTGCTGCCTCCTAGGCATTCATTAATAGCAAGCCCAGAAGCAGAAGCAGAACAGGAAATTCAGAATTCTCAGGAAGGTTGTAGGCGTTGCCAGACATTTCTCAAGGGCTCTGGCAGATCCAGACCACAAAACCTGAGTTTGATTTCCAGTCCTTCCAAAACTTCTCATAGCCTGACTTTTAAAATAATGAGCATTCCTTCCCCATAAAATTATAAGCAGCATGAGATAATGCAGTGAGGGACAAAGACTCACATGATGTATGCTATGTTCAAGGAGTTTAATAAACCTTTTTAACTCTAAATCTGATAGAAGCATTAAATTCTTCCTAGTCTTCTGACAAGAGAGTATTGTTTACCCTTCTCCCATCTCCCTAGCGAATTTCCCTTACTGTGTGAATGCCTTTTCATGCAATAATTTTCACTTAGACCTCTTTTTGCAGATGCTAACTACTTCAGCGAACAAGGAATTTGTTAAAAGATACTAATTCTCTTATAGCACCTGGAAGGGTCAAAAACTTAGGCTTAAAGGTCACTGTTGATGGCTCCAGAGAGATCCTACAATCACTGCAACAAGGCCATGGCACCACCACTGCCACTCTGGGATGCTTAACCACAGCCCTTCTCAATGCTGAGTCCCTCAAGCTTACCCAAAGTAGAATTCATGCTAGCTTCAGGATCGCATCTGATGCGCAAAATAATCGGGAAAATGGAATCTTACAAGAGAAAATTCAAAAAACATAAGAAATTGTTCCAAAGGCTTGGCCACACCACCTTGCCCTCTGTTTCTTATTATCGCCATGCAACTCTACTGACTCAGAAGTTTCTACATGAGGGCCAGAGTTGTGGTACAATGGACAAAGCTGCTGGCCTTCAATGCTGATATCCCATGTACATGTCTCAGCTGTTCCACTTTCGATCCAACTCCCTGCTAATGGACTGGGAAAAGCAGTGACAAAATGCCTGGGTGTTTGTGCCCTGCCACTCAGATAGTAAGCCCAGAAGGAGCTCCTGGCTCCCAGCTTTGGCTTGGCCCAATGTTGACCATTGTGGCCATCTGAGGAGTGAACCAACAGATAGAAGACTTCTCAACATCTCTCCCTCTCTTTGCAGCTCTGACTTGCAAATAGTAAGTAGTTCTTTTAAAAAAAAAAAATTCTAGAAACAGGAAACCTGATAATCAAATTTCAGAGTTAATTATAAACCAATTTGATCCTCTCAGCTGTTTTCATGTTTATTTCTTACTCTGCCTGGACATGTGAATGTGTGTACCTTAATAAAAATAATGCTAAGCTTACTCTGTGTGCCTTGGCTGGTTGATTAACCACTTATTAAATTTCAGAACATTTCAACAAACAGAAAATAAAAACACAAATATAACACGATCTGTGCCTTTTATATTTGGAACTAATCCTTTCTAATAAATATCAAGTAAACTGATTATTGATACCAGAACAGCCCTATTAGGGAGAGTACTGCAAAAACAAGTGATGTTTAGAAGTGTTTAATTTTTAACATCTTTAAAAGGAGATCAAAGTTTAAAGGCATTGTGTGACAGTATCGACAACATGTGTCAATAGATTGTTTTGTATTGCTGGAAAGTTCAGATTTCACCGTGTGTTTTCAATTTTTATTCATATTAAAGTTTTTAGGTCTTTCATTGCCTTGATCACTATTTTAAACTCTGTTGTTGTCCTGACTCTGTAAAATGGAATTTTACATGATAAAATGTCTTTAAAAGTAGAAACATCTCACTATGATACTAATGTTTTCATTTTCAGTCTTAACATTACCATTTTTAATTTACATTTCTTATGTATACTCATTTAATAACCAACTTTATATTCAGTAATCACATTTTCCCGTAAGCTTTGATTAAAGCAATTATAGTAAATGAAAATAAGAAAGTAATTTCTGTAAAGACATTCATAAAGCATCACTTTCAAACCATAACATAGACTTTTAAATAGTTTTGTGCAGCATTAGGCTTACAAAAAAAAAAAAAAACCTTTCTGTTTCATTTAAGACACACAGATCTAAAACTTTTAATGTCTATTCATCACTCTTTGTGTTGACCTCCATGAGTATGACAGTAGAAGGCTTAACACTAAGGATGCTCAATAAATGCCTTTGAGTGAATGTCTGGCCTTTTTAACTTAGGCCAAGAAGGCAAAAGCATCAGCAAAAAGACCTCTCTAAAATACAGAGCTAATAAACTGAGAAAAGAGGTAGGCTCTTCACAGTCACCCGTCCCAAGTTTTCTTTAGCCCTAAACTTCCTTGGCCAATGCTTATTTTTGATGTACTTTAAAGAGTAAGAGTACATATCAACATACTTAACTGACGCGCCTGTGGAGACTGCTCTACCAACTTAAGATACAAACTAATGCACAAGAGGTGGCTGAATATTTTCTATCTCCCCTCTACTGTACACAAAACAAGGAGATAATATTCCCAGCTCATAATTTTCTTACACTTGGCAACCTGAGCATGTGTTCTATAAATTGTACTAATAATGTATAAAGCAGAAAAAGTTCAAGACTACAAACACTGTTTTTCTAACAGAGTTTTATAGACTGTTTTACTGATTGGGATGAAATCAAGAAAAGAAAATCTCATGCAGGCCCATGACCTGTGAAGGGGTCTGCACGCTTCCACGGGAGAGACAGTATGCTTTCTGCATGAATGAACCTACTCCTTGTGTGGCATTCTCCTCTCTAGGCGGGGGAGCTGAGGGAATTGCCTCCTGTTCATTCTTCTATTTGTTCATCCTCAAAATCCTTGAAAATCCCTCTGTCTCTCTCTCTCTCTGTCTCTCTCTCTCTCTCTGTTTCTCCATCTCTCTGTCATACACACATACACACACACAAAATGAGTTTTGTCTCAAGTAACAAAGAATCGAAGTCACAACATCTGCAGGCCCAATAGCAAGGGGAAAAAAACAGAAACTGAGAAAGGGAGGGTGCACAGCAACTAATCTTTAAGAACATTTCCTGGAAGATTCATACAAGGCTTCTATTCGCATCTCTTTAAGCTGACCCAAACTAATAACAAGGCACAAGAGACTGAAAATGTCAGTTTTATTCCTTGTCGCGTGCTTCTACCTTACAAGCCGCGGCTTTATCACAGAGAACAGACGGAAAGAAGAATCTTGGAGACAACTAGCAGGTTGCCACGAGGCTCCTCCTTGTGAGGAGGTGCCCTGTGGGATTCCACTGCAGCGAGTTCAGGGCAAATGCCTTGCCTTTCCCCTCAGCCTGCACCTCCTATCTCCCTACCCTGATCCCTTCTTTGCAATATTATTGCATTCAAACAAAGGGGATGGAACATTTAGAATTCTTTGGGGAGATACCAACCTTTGCAAGCAGCACAATTACAATTTGAACATAATTTTAAACTAATAGTTTTTTACCCGTGCCACAGATCACTAGAGTGAGGTGTCAAAGGAATGTTGATTTGTCAAAAAATGGAGCAAAGCAACAGAGTCCACCCACAGACTTTATTCTGTGTATCTTTCATGTGTTGGATTTCTACAGGAGTTATTGTGTAAAGAAAGGTTTTCATTGCCTTTAGAAGGTGAGATCATTTGTTCCCAACCCTAATTCTATATTCTCTGAATTGGTTTCTTGGGAGCAGTGTGGTCTTAGTTCTGAAGCATTTCAAGAGCTAATGGATACGGGTGAAAAGAAAAGACATGTGAAAATTCTGCTGGCCTGTCATTGTGACTTATTCTTGAAAAATCTGCTTTTTTGGAAAAATCATAATCATGCATACAAATTAGACATTTAATATGTCTTGATTAGATCTATTAGCATATTTGTCTCCCAAGTAACCATAGCTTATGTGTGTCATTGAAACTATTATTTCCTTTCATTTATTTTTGTGTCATTTAATTTTTACTTTCTAATGTTTTGGTGGACTTTTTTTTTGTAATGTATGATTATATTTATTGCCTGAAAAAAATATTGGGTATTCATATGTGGGTCAACATACCGGCAGGAAATAATGACTGACAAGGACTCGTAAGTTTGTGTGTCAAGGCTTCACCACAACTTTATTGTTTGTTTCTGTAGTCAGAATTTTCTTAGCAGTCCCACTTCATTTGTCAGATATTCCAGAGGAACACAAAAGAGCAATAGCATTTATGTTCTGTTATTATTAACTACAAAACATCAATCTTTTTATTTCTGGTAGGTTAGTAATTTAATAAGCTTATCTCTCAAGAAACAGTTAATCGTTCTGTTCTAGATAAAATACTCCAAGAATTTATTTCTCTCAGCATCTGTCTCTTCATTTTCCAACTCATATTTCTTCATAGCCACAAAATAGCGAATGAAAGTTTCTCCCAGAGCCTGTCTCAAACACTGATCTTCCTCCAGTGCTACAAGAGCATCTTCCAGTTTCAAAGGAATCTCAGATGGTTTTGGTTGGAAAAGTTCTGTGCTCTCGTCTGAATCAGCCACTGCAACACAGCTACTCTGAAGCCCATCTAAGCCAGCAGCAATGGTGGCAGCCAGTACCAGGTACGGGTTTGCCGTTGCAGAACCTAGCTTGTTTTCTATGCGGGCACCTTTGTCACCATGGCACTTGATGTTGAAAGCGCAGCTATTATCATTGTACCCCCATGTTGTGGGCACACTATCCTTCAGGTCCTTGCTCTCCTTGGCATAACGCTTGCGGCAGCTAACAGCTGGTGCCATCAGGCAGCTGAGAGCCGCAGAATGCTTCAAAAGTCCTGCCAGCCATTTTTTCCCAGTGATTGTAAGCTGTTCAGTCCCAGAACTGCTGCAGAACATGTTTTTCTTCCCGTTGGCATCCCACAGACTATGAGACAAAATTCCTGAATTGCAGAATCCAGTCTCAATGAAAAAGCTGGCAATGTAATTATATTTCCTTGCCACTTCTTTGACACCTGTTCTGAGAGTAAATGCATGATCAGCTGAACTTATGCCAAATTCAGGCAGAAAACAAATTTCCATCTGACCAGGCCTGGTAGAGGAGGAAAAGCTCTCAACATTGGCTCCTGTGTGGTACAAGCCATCAACAAGCTCCTGCATGAATGGCTGATCATGATTATTTACTAGTGTTGAAGCAGGAAACGATATAGTCTTTGAGTTGATCATTTCAGGCATTCCAAAGATGCAAAAATCATAGATGAAGGCAGAGAGGAGGGAAAAACCACAGTCCTGCAGCTGATCCAACTGCCGCTTTGCAATGTACCGTGGGGAAGTCAGCAGTGGCTCTCCGGTCACAGTGAAGGTATCACATATCACTCTTGCAGTCCTCTCAGCCCAGGGCAAAACTCGAAAGGTAGATAACTCTGGCATCAGGACTATATCGCTATTAAAACATGTGGCTCGGATGTGATTCACTTCATTGTCCTTAGGATTCGGTATCAATTCAAGATAACCTCGAGGCATGAAAACACCATGAATCACCTTTTCCTAAAGAAGGACAAAGATAGAGTAACCAGGTTCTGAACATTGAAGACAAATCAGAGCTGAAAAGAAGTCTTGTGGATAAGAAAAGTAAAATGTGTTTGACATTTGTTAACACTAATTTAATACTAGATAAATGCTAACTATTTTTAAATACTTCTTATATATATGACCTAATACTGTAAGTCTTGAAGAATGTACTTGTTCTTTTTAAGAAATTTCATTTACTTGCTTTAGATTCAGCAATTTGATGTTAGGGCTGGTGCCATGGCTTAACAGGCTAATCCTCTACCTCCAAGCAATGAGCGTCCCATATGGAGCCTGGTGCATGTCCTTGCTCTGGCTCAGCTCCAGCCATTGAAGCCATTTGGGGAGTGAACCAGTAGGTGGATGATCTTTTCCTTTTTGTCTTTCCTTATCTCTGTAAATCCCCCTTTTAAATATAAATAAATAAATAAATCTTTAAAAATATATTTGATGCTGACATCCATTTCATATACGGCCAATATATATATTTTTTTTTCTTTTTTCTTAAAGAAACAGGAATGTTAACACCAAATACTATGGAACCTGTAAAGATCAAAAAGTGAGTAAAGAAGATTATTTTGTCAGTTCCATAATTCAGTGAAAACAATATTTAAAATCATCAGTACACCAAATAATATGACAGACACACAAATTAAAATCTTCTCCCTCCCCCCGACCCCTCACACACACACACACACAAACTGTGTATGAGAGAAAACACATGATGTATTTGTCCTTGTGTAATTGGCTTATTTTGCTTATCACACATGATCTCCAATTTCACCCACTTAGTTGTAAATGCCAGGGTTTCATTTTTTATGCTGAGTAATATGCCATCGTCTGTATATAACACATTTGGTTTATTCAGTCATCAATTGGTTGGCATACAGGTCAATTCCATATCTTTGCTATGGTGAATTGCATTGCGATAAGCATGGGAATAAAGGTTGCACCGGCTTCATCTCTTTGGTTACATTCCCAGGAGCGGTATAGAAGGTCATGAATATATGTATTTGTAGGTTTTTGGGCCTGGCATGGTGGCCTAGCGGTTTAAGTCCTCGCCTTGAATGCGCCAGGATCCCATAAAGGCACCGGTTCTAATCCCAGTGACCCTATTTCCCATCCAGCTCCCTGCTTGTGACTTGGAGAAGCAGTCAAGGACAGCCCAATGCTTTGGCATCCTGCACCCGTATGGGAGACCTGGAGGAAATTCCTGGCTCCTGGCTCTGGATCGGCACAGCACCAGCCACTGGGCTCACTTTGGGAGTGAATCATCAGACAGAAGATCTTTCTCTCTATCTCTCCTCCTCTATATATATCTGACTTTGTAATAAGAATAAATAAATCTTTAAAAAAAAATAGATGTATTTGTAGGTTTTTGGGAAATCTCCATATTGTTTCCTATAATGGCTGTACTAATTCCTACTAAGTGTTTTTGGAGCCTCTTTTTTTCCACATCCTCACTAGCATGTGTTATTTTGACTTGAGTAGCAGTTACTTTAACTGCAGTGAGGCTATCTGGGTTTTGGTGTAGGGTTTTTGTTTTTGTTAAAATGCCTGAGCTCAAGTCTGAGCTCCTTTTCCAATTCAGCCGCCTGCTGATGTGCAGCAGATGGGGGTTCAAGCACCTCGGTCTCGGTCTGCACAGGAGACTGCAGCACTGGCGATTGAGTGCATTTGGAGAGTGAGCCAACAGTTGACAGATCTGTCTCTCTACCTCTCAGATGAATGTTTAAAATAACAAATAAATAAAAATTAAAAGCATCCTCAGTGCTTAGAGAGCTCATTGTGGTCAGTTTTACAGCAAACAGGACAATTTTTCTAACACCAGAGAAGCCAGGTCTGCAGACAGCTGCTCACCTGCCTTTTACTCGCTTTTACAACTCAACTACTTTACAGCCTCACAAAGTTTCACAAAACTCATGTGTGAACAAATCTCCAAAGTTAGTTTCCAATATGTAGCAGTCTTTAAACCAGCACAAACTGGGTGTTAGTAGATATGACTTCTGGTCCTAGCTTATTTATTAATTACTTGTGTGCAATTAGGCAAATTGCTGGACTGCATGCCTCAGCCTCCATGTCTAAAACCAAAGAGTTGGGCTAGATTGATGCTTAAAGACCGTTGTCTTTAGGGTTCATTTGGGGAGTGAACCAAATATCTTTCTTTCTCTATCTTCCTATTTCCATCACTTCATGCCAACTTTCAAATAAGTAAACTTATTTTTTCAAAAAAGAAATAATGCTATGTTAATTTGATTTTTTAGCTTGAAGATCTGCATCACTTCTGTTTGTATCTGAAAGGAGAGATGATGTGTTTTATTCATGAGACTTCTAAATGTTCCTGCATTTTTAATCTGTGTTTGTAATCTCTTAGCTGTAAATAAGGGAGAACAGCTGGTCACCACTTCATTCTAACATTCCTCCACAAACTTGAAGAATAATAAAATTTCTCACTTCGATCTTCAAAGCATTTAATATGTATTTTTCTGGCTCTCTTTCCTATTACTGTCATTTTCCTTATTTCTTTTTAAACATGCTAAATTCAAATGACACATCGCTAGTGCTGAGAAATATCTGTGAACAAATCCAGGATAAAGAATTAGCATAAGTCAATTTAGGAACAACTTCATATTCCAGCAGAGATCAGTATGAACTTAACGAGAATCTTACCAAATAATGCAAATTCCTGACAGCTAAAATCTGGACCATAATAAAGGTCACCTTGTGAAATAACCCCAAAATTAGTTATCAATATATCATGTTTTGATTTGATCAAAGAGTTCCATCTATGATTTAGTCAGTCCTTTAATAGAACAGACAAAGTGTAAGTTGGCTATAAGGTTTAAATGTGCTAATATTTGTAAGACATTTAGTAAATACTGGGCACAGGGTAAATTCTCTGGAAAGAGGAAACATCATTTCATCATATTTTCCCTGTTTGGTCTTTTCCAATTACATACCAGTCCATTCCCCTAGTCTTAATAGATGATTGTGTTTTTTTTTCCAAAGTCAATATTTTTTCAGTTTAATAAAACATAGATATTAGTCAAATGAAGGAGAAAAAGACACACTAAAACTGAGCCAGAGGCAGTAGATCCAGTTGAAAAAAGAAGTTCTTTGAACTGGAAATGATGCATTACAGACTACCAGCCCAGCTCTGCTGCTCACTACCCACATAATGCTAGCAAAGCTTCCCCTAAACCATTCTGGCCCTCACTTCTTTCATTTTAGTACAGGAAAAGATATAGATTGCAATACTTTTTGTATGGTGGTATGGTCTCATGTAATAATTTTCAAGATGAGAGTTTATGTCTCACAAGTAGAAAAGCATTTAAAAATTGTCTCACAAATATCAAAATTACTTTTCACTAAGCCAAAAACAAATTCAAAATATTGCCCTGAGCCAGCACTGTCGCATAACATAGGAAGCTACCACCTGTGGTACCAGAACCTGTTTAGATGCTGGCTTAAATTTGGGCTGCTCTGCTTCTGATCCAGCTCCCTGCTAGTGTGTCTAGGAAAGCAGCAGTAGATGGTCCAGCTGTCTGGGCAGCTACACTCACAACAGAGTTATGCATGAAGCTCCTGGCTCCTGGTTCTTGGCTGGTCCAGCTCTAGCCATTTTGGCCATTAGAGGAATGAACCAGTAGATAGAAGATCTCTCTTCTGCTGTCATTCCCTCTCTGTTGTAACTTTGCTTTCAAATAAATAATTTTTTAAAAAAATAATGCCTTTACTATGTAGTGTTTGTATGTGTGCACACACATTGTTCTCATTGGCTTGCACAAATAAGCCTTTCTAATGGTTCTATATAAAACATTTTCCAAATAAGTCATTCAACTTAAAGTATATGTACTCATGAAGCAGTTACAATGATATTTACCTTCAAGTTTTCCAAATTAATTTAACACATAAGAAGATAAGGATACTTCATAATCATTACTTGATACATTACATGATTGTTACATAATTAGTATAAATAAACAGATAATCAAAAGAGAAATTAGCTAGTAGAAAATTAGAATCAAAAATAGTTGTAGCCCTTAAGAATGTTACAGAGAGGTTATCAAAATTTTCAAAATAAAGTTGTTTTTTGGTTTTGTTTTTGTTTTTTAACTGGGGATAGTATTGTGCAATACTGGCTGAGCTGCCACTTACATTACTAGCACGCTCTCTGGGCACCTGTTCAAATTCCACTGCCTAGCTTCTTACCCAGTTCCCAGCTTTATCACCTGGAAAGTAACAGATGATGGTCCCTGACATTCAGGTGGGAAAGCTAGATAGAGTTCCTGCGGCTCCTCTTCATCCTGGTCCATGTCACAGCTGCTGAGCCATTCAGGAAGTAAACCAATGGATGCAAGACATTCCTCTCTCTCACTCGCTCACTCTCTCTCAGTCCCTCTTTGCTCTCTCCTCTCTATACCTACTTTTCAAGTAAATAAATAAATCTTTTTAAAAGCCTTTTTTCCTAGCTGAATTCCAGGAAAAAGTTGATTCTTTTATGTAGAATATTGAACAGAAAAATGGAAAAATACTCTTAACAAAAGTATGTGAGAAAAGTTTTGGGGAGAAAATGAATAAAGAATATAATACTTATGTAAATTATATAAAACCTCAACAAATGTAAGCAGCATATTACATTATATTTTTATGAGGGAGTCCAGATCCTTCCAATAAGTATCATTGAGTGCCACTAGTGGGATAAATAATTCAAATATGACAAAAACTGAAGAGCCGAAATATTAATATTTGTTGGAGTCACACAGGTATGGGAAGTACCCGTTATGTTTTCTAATAGATTAAAATAGAGTCATGTGAATTATAGTTTGGGTTATCAGGATGAAAAGGAGCTATCATGTATGGATACATTCAAAGAACCCCTCTAAGAAAGTAATTTGGATTTTTTTTAAATGATTTTGAGAATTTTTTGAAGATACCCAGTGTTTCCCAACACAAAACACACAAGAAAGTTGTAATTTAGACATTAAAGTGATAAAAACATAATGTATTTTTAAATAAATTAAAAAGATGGGTTTTTTTTTATTTTTTTAAATGACACTAACTCATGTCTGTTCCTGAGAAACACAACAAATCAGTTACCAGAATAAAAGCATGACATAAACTGATTGAAACATCCTGCAAAAAATGTCGAAACAAAGATAAAAAGGTTTTGATATTACCATTTTTCAAAAATTCAAAGCCATTGAGTCATCTAATAACAATAAAATATTATCAGAATTAGAACCTGAAGAGGATACACACTTTATTTAGAAAATTATTTCCATTTATTCTTTCTTTCTTTCTTTCTTTTTCTTACTCTTTTATATTTGCTCTTGGGTCCCTCTGTCACAATTTTCTCATGTCAAATAAAATACTATCTTCATAATTAGACTAAAGGAGAAATGATAATACTGTAGAGAAAAATTATTTTAAAAAGAAGAGCTAAAATTGCCAGACTTAATTAGTTTTATGTTTCTATTGGGTAAAGAAACTTGCTGTTTGAGAACTGAGAGTATGTTTTCTGTTCCCAGTAATATGCTTAATGAGAGGGAGAACAAGAAAAGAACCAAAATGAATTATTGGTTTTTCAACTTGAATTTCCATGTAGGTTACAAAAAAATTGTTTTTATGTAATAGGGACTATTTGCTTGTTAATGGTTATGAAATTGCATTTAATCATAGCCACATACAAAACTCACTTGGAAAAAGTGTGCAGGAATACTCTTTGACCGGGACACACCATGCAGATCAGATGCTTCAAACTGGACAAACTGGAGGTGATTTTTGGCCATCTCTTGCTTAATATGCTTCATTCTAGAAGAAAGCTGAGGTGGCGTCAGAATTTGAGTGGCATCCCTGGTACAATCTGTAAAATAAAGAATGGCTTTGCCTCACTTTACCATCACAATTGAGAAAAGGAAAACCTGAGAGTAGTTAACTGGTCATTTTGATTATTAACAAAAGCCTCATGTAGTCCTCAAGTCATTGACATCAAATGGGAGACTTTATTTTTCTTAACTTGCCTTTAGCATCTTCCAAAGAAATTGTGTCTAAATAATCAACAGATTGGTTATAAATCACAACTAGGTTATAAGTAACATTGTTTTGATGAGTATATAGCAATGTCATACGTACTTTACAGAACGTCTATAAAAAACAGAATAAATTCACATAACGGATAGCACTGGCACCATTAAGTCTACATAGATAACCACCATTGTAAAGATTTTTAGGTTTTTGAGCTGACTTAATTTCTTTTTTCTTTTTATTTTTTTTTAAATATTTTTAATTACATTTCATTTTGACACAGTTTCATAGGCTCTGGGATTCCCCCAACCCCTCCTCATACCCTCCCCCCATGGTGGATTCCTCCATCTAGTTGTAGTATTACAGTTCAAATCCAGTCATGATTCTTTCATTGCAAGCATGTACCATACATAGAGTTCAACATTTTATTGTCCAGATAATTTCAACAGTTTCTTGGGGAGACCATCTCTGATCTAAAAGCAGAACTGGCAAAATATCATCCTAACCAATTAAAAGCCACAACATAACATCAACAACAGTTTACAGCCTTATGGGGTTAAATGACATGGTATTGAGTGACCAACATGTTAGAAAATATAAGCTCTTAACCACATCCTGTGATTACTTCATTCACATTTCTATTTTATTTTATACACATCCAGCTGCTATACACTTTAAAATGGCTATAAGGTACTATTCAGCTGTTTCGTGTCTGTTTTCATTTTTGTGTTTATTAGCTTATAGTGTTGAAGCATAATTTTTACTGAACTTGGTGGATTTTAGGATAGTCCAAACTGGCTTATAACTCTAACAAAGTATATGCCAATAGTTGAGGCACAGAACAGTTTTAGGAGGGCTGTGCAGAGAAATCCTCAATACCTTAGTGAGGAGTAACTAATCTTTGTGTCCTACCTAGTAAGGTATATGAGAGCCAAAAATTCCTGTAGTTTTAGATAAAATTATTTATTTTTGTTGTTCTGTTTTTGAGTGGTTTTTTGGCAATAAGTGCATTATCCTTTTGTAATAATATCAGAATGTAGGAAACCTACCTCTACCAAAATTCATACAAGCAAACAAAAACGTTTTTCAATAATGAGAGTGTAGAAGATGAAAAATCTGTATTATATATCAAATTTTACAGTTAAATACAAAGAAAACCATTCTTTTCAGGGCTTTTAAGATAGTATGAGGTGTCTAAATTGAAATAAATTGAAAATGAATCATCTAATGTGAGCAACTCATTAATTGTGTCCTGTAGAGATGTTATGAGGTAACCTAAATCACACTTATCAATTTATTGCTGAAATTGAAACTAGAATTGATATTTCTAGACTCAGCCAGAGCTCATTACTACAATATAAATTAATACATTCACAGCACATGGTACACAGAGCTGTACTGCTTATCCTCAGTTTCACCTTGTGAAGTTTCAGTTGTCCTTGACCATTGTGTTCTGGAAGTTAAATTAAAAGGTTATATATATAAACAATCTACAAGTTCTACATTGCATGCTATTCCGAGAAGTGTAATGAGCCATTTTGCCATTCTATTTTATCCTGTCCAAGGATGTAAATCATCACTGTGTGTAGCATATCCACATTGTACAGGCCTCACATATATTAGCCACAATAGTTTCACAAAGAATATCATGTTGTCACAGTGCTACTGCCTTTATTTTAGAAATGATTTTAAAATACAAGAACAGTGATTCTAGTGATTTTATTGTAATCCATTGTTTTAATTACTCTAATCGTATTAGTTACTCTTGCCAATCTCTTACTATAGGTATGTGTAAACAGAAAAAAAAATAAGGTATGAGGATAAACATTTGTGGGAAATGAAATTCCAAGATAAGTCTACTTTGGTATAAAAAAGGAAGGAAGGAAGGAGGGAGGGAAGGAAGGAAGAGAGAGAGAGAGAGAAAGAAAGAAAGAAAGAAAGAAAGAAAGAAAGAAAGAAAGAAAGAAAGAAAGAAAGAAAGAAAGAAAGAAAGAAAGAAAGAAAGAAAGAAAGAAAGAAGAGAAGAGGGAGAGAGAGAGAGAAGAGAGAAGAAGAGAAAGAAAGAAAGAAAGAAAGAAAGAAAGAAAGAAAGAAAGAAAGAAAGAAAGAAAGAAAGAAAGAAAGAAAGAAAGAAAGAAAGGAATTAATTCAGGACCGGTGTCTTGACGCAAGTGGTTAATCCTCCACCTCCAAGCACTGGCATCCCACATGGCTGCCTGTTTGAGTCCGAGCTGCTCTACCTTCCATCCAGATGTCTGCTTTTGGCCTGGGAAAGCAATAGAGGATGGCTTATGTGCACTCACATGGAAGACAGGGAAATAATTTCCATGGATGGAAATAAATAAATCCTTTTTATAAAAAATGAAATCCATGCAATTTAAAAATATATATACGTGTTTGCCATGATCTTTTTGGAGACCGTCTATAAGATTCAACATGTTTTGCACCAGGATAAGCTTATCTTTCTTCCACTTTTCCAGGAGCTCTTTGAATTACACCTCTTTTGAAGCCCAATAGTCATAGTTTCAGGCATCCACTGGAGATACTGTCCAGAGGTTTAGAAGACTTTATAGACTGCATTGGTTCAGCACAAAACACTGAAGTTCATCTGCCTCTTTAAAAAAATATATATGCATTTTCATTTGAAAGGTAGATTTATAGAGTGAAGGAGAGACAAAGAGAAAGGTTTCTCATCTGCTGGTTCACAGTTCAAATGACCACAATCATAGGACATAAGCCAATCCGAAGTCAGAAGCCTCTTCTGGGTTTTCCATGTGGGTGCAGGGTCCCAAGGACTTGGGCCATTCACAGCTGCTTCCTCAAGCCATTAACAGGGCACTGGAAGGAAAGTGAAGCAGCCAGGACATGAACCTGTGCCCATATGGGATGCCAGTGCTTGATTGTGAAGGATTAGCCTGTTGAGCCATGGTGATGGCCTCTTATGTGCCACTTAAATGCTGCTTTGCCCTGAAAACCTTCTTCTCTCTGTGCTCTGCTTCCTCAATGATAAATATCACCTACTCCGTGGGCTGGTTATAAGGATTAAACAAGCTGTTTAACAGTTATTGGTAGACAGTAAAAAACACCTAAGTGTTATTTAGGTGCATAAAGTGAGTAGAATTACCATAAGAAATCATACCACGGGCCCTGCACAGTAGCCGAGTTGCTAAAGTTTGCACACACCAGGATCCCATATGGGCACCTGTTCTAAATCCGGCAGCCCCACTTTCTATTCAGCTCCCTGCTTGTGGCCTGGGAAAGCAGTCGAGGACGACCAAAAGCCTTGGGACCCTACATCTACTTGGGAGATCTGGAAGAGGCTCCTGGCTCCTGCTTTTCAGATTGACTCAGCTGCCGTCGTTGCAGCCACTTGTGGAGTGAATCAGAGGAAGGAAGATAATTCTGTCTCTTCTCTCTGTAAATATGACTTTCCAATAAAAATAAAGTAAATCTCAAAGAAAAAAGAAATCATACCATAAGCATGTCTGTGTTCAAACAGCCTTCGATCTATTGCACTGCTGATCTTCAACAGCTACAATTCTAAAGCAGTGCCTCATCACTCTTTTTCAAGAAATAATTAGGTATTAAGTGAGCAAAAAGATTGACAGTTTAAAAATGTAATTTAAGTGGATTTTTAGTATTTAAGGGAAACAAATTACTGATTCCACCTATGTAAATATCTTAGAGATAATATCCTGTCATTGATATGCCGGCCACTCCAACTCTGAGGCTTTGGACTCACCTTTCATTTAACACAAACAAGTAAGCTGTATTATAGTGCTTCCTGCTAAATGAGCAGCTGCTGTGTTCCCAATCGGCTCTAAAACTTTGGGTGTTTGGCTCACATTGAATAATGTATGTTAAACCAAAAAATATGTATAGACATTCTATAATATGGAAATTTTCACATAACCAGTATTCAATGTAAAATAAGCAGTTTCATATGACGTTTCCTACAAAAGGAAAAAGTAATTGTATTTGCACACTGGTGTTACGATGACAGCTAACCTTACTGAGCTTTTTTTCCTGACCTTATCTCTACCTTCACAATTTTCTGTAGTAAATTAGTATTATTTAAAAGAAGCAATATAGCCATCTATTCACAACAGATGTTTGAATCATCACTGGGTATTTCATACTATTTTCTAAAAAGAACACAAAAAGCTGTCCTCACAGGCCTTTAAACTGTTGAGAGAGAGAATTACAGAGAGTAAACAGACCCTCAGAGGACAAAGGGAAAGGTGCTGGGGGAAGCCCATCGTCATCTGAAATGACACCTGTGTGAGAAGCAGTTGCAATGTGGGACACATCCAATTCCTGATTCATTCGAACACCTCCAGCTTTCACTATGACTGGGCAGGTGTGCATATGTGCCAAACAGTTCTGAAGGATAACAAATTCACCAAACCTGTCCTGGAGGCTGGACTCTGAAGAGCAAAAGCAGTGTTCCAGCTGAGTGTTTCTCTCTTAGCTTACAGATGGCCACTCCTTCCAATACCTTCACCTAGCGTTCTCTCTGGGAATGGCTGTGTCCTAATCTTCTCACAGTGTTGGTCACACCAGATAGGGACCTACACTACGGACCTCATTTAACATTTGATTCCTCTTTAAAGACCTCATCTCTCTATTCAATTACGTTCTGGGGTGAAGTATTGAGAAGCAGGAATTCAATATAAAAACTGAGCCAGTGTCCATCTGTTACGCTGCGTTCCTTTCTTCAGACCCCTCATGTTTTACCTCCCTGTCATATTGTTTTATCACCTGTTACTGTCCCTTCCCACTGGCACATCAGCCGCACCACAGCAGGGCTTTGCTGTTGCTGTGTGCTCAGGACCTGCAATGGTGCAGGAACAGGATAAGCACCCCATAAATATCCCTCTAGCAGGTAAGTAAGAGTGTGTGTGTGAGCGAATAGATGAATCAGTGAATGAATTAACACATCCTCCGTGAAAGACCTTGTCTAATTAATAAGTAAAAAATAGCATCATATATTTTAGTTTGTCTCCTAAGTATCAATTTTTCATTTAAAAATTCAATTATTTCAGCAAATATAAGAACCCTATCCAATCTAATCTCATTTTCGAGACATCAACTAATCTTGCTGCATCATTGTCTGAATTTCTTTTTTGCAGATAAATCATCCTTGTTACTGACAATTAAACTTTTTGGCCAGCCTTTTCCAACTGCACATGATAAATAGCAGGCAGATAATTGCCAGTTCAGGGGCCCATTTGTTCTTACAGTGTGATTCCTGGGAGGTGTTCTCCTTTCCTATCTCCTCAGAGGACTAATAAATTAAAGCAATGTGCTTTTATAGGAGGTGTTTTATTGCTGTGTTTGGGGAAAAAAAAAACAGCAGGAAAAACCCTAAACACTCTATAGTAACTAGAAGGCCCTGGAGAAATGCCTGTGTCCAGTGACAATGAGGACATACTTCAGTTAGAACAAGCAAGACATAGGCACTTATACAGGGCAGGCTGAGTAGTCCGTTGCACTTTCAGAAGAAAAAAAACAAAACAGTGCAAAAAAAAAAGTGCATTTAAAAATACATTCCAGGATACACTCAGCTTATTACATACCGGGAATGATTGGCTACACTCTCACTGTCCTTCATTGATACGGCCACAGTGCGAGCCACCCTGCTAGTGAAAATGTGGGGGCAAAACAGATGTAAAAAGAAAAACAATTTTAAAAGGCGTCTTTCTTTAAAAAAGAAGAAGAAGAAGTAGTACCATCTTTAGAAAAACTTAGAATAGTCATTACAAAGAAACATATACTATTTCAAGCATTTTACATATAAGTTTTTTTTTTAGAATTATTTTTAAAATATACCCTGGTGGTTTGCTTCTAGGTTTCATCTTTCTTGGAAATCAGAATCTTTGAGGAACTTAATCCAGCAATAATGCTACTCACACCCATAATCATGGTTAGTGTTGCAAAGAGAACTCATGGCATAAATTCTCTCACCAGATTTTTTACTTAAGATTAACAAGTGATCAACTGGTCTCTGGTCTGTGGGTGGCTACAACTAGTATATATAAAACAAGGATCTGCTTAGAGGAGGATAGCAGATGCTTTCTGGTCAGTCTTTCTAGCGCTAAAACATTTAACCATTACAAAATTCAGATAAAAATCCCGACTTTCAGTTTCTCTTGAACATAAATCCAGCAATTCTTTTTTGACTATTTACCCACAACAGTCAATGGCTGGAGCACAGAAATACCATCCTCTAGCTCATGGTGTGGCACATATTTTCTGCCCAAGGACAGAAAGCAAATATTTGTAGCTTTGCAGGCTACATGGTATCTATCACAGCTGTTTAAATATACCGTTTTAATTCCCAAAGAGACATAAACAATATGCAAATTATTTCTAAAAAAAAACGTGTAAGTGGCTATCTGCAGGCAGAATTGGACCCCTGGTTTCTGTTCTAGTTTCTCATCACCATCATAGCTTGCTGTTTCTTCCAGTGCCCCACCTCTCACATTTGTTTTAGCTACCTGCTCCCACCCCAGGGTATTTTAATCAACAGTTCTCAATGTTTATAGGCTATCAATGTTAATTATACTTGCTTCATGGGGAAAATCAGGAAGCCATTGTGCAGAGAAATTCAGAGAAGAGAAATGATGAGGTAGACAGAATTATCCCTAAAGATGTTCACCCCTTGTTAATCTCTAAAACATATTAAAGCAAACAAGATTGTGGATGTAATTAAGACAACAGATCTTAAAGCAGGAAGATTATCTTGCATTATCCAGATGATCACTTAAAATACAGACCTTTCTCCAACTAGTTATACAAAAGAGGAAGAAGGGGAATTAAGAAAAATTTAAACATATAAGAAAGACTTGGGGCCCTGCGTTGTCTAAAAATCAGGGAACAGAGAGAGGCTCCTGGGAACTGAGAGACATCCCAGTTAAGAACCAACAGGGAATCAGCAACCTCAGTCCTACAACCAAAATAACCAGATGCTCCCCTCCTATAGTGCCATGAAACTATACTGTTTCCCAGAATCATTAACCCCTTGGCAAGACAGATAAGTCACCTGAGTAAACTTATACCTCTGACATGCAGAACTGTGGCATAATAGATTTATGGTTTTCCTTAAATGTGAAGCTCATAATAATTTGTTATGGTGTCAATAGAACACTAAAACGGATGGAGTCCCAACAGTGTTCACGTCCCAGGCTCCAGTTCCTGCTAGAGTCTTTTGTGAAGGAAAGAATTCAGCCTTGCCCAAAGAGAGGTCTGAGACCTGCCCTTGACCACTGAGAGGTCATCTTTATATTCCTGGAAAGTTCTGCCTCACTAGAGTCTTTGCTTAGGAGCTATAGGCCATGCCATAGAGTCTGATAACATAACAGTAGAGACTTTGGATGCCGTGATGTGTTCTTGGGGCCTCAGTGAAGCCAGAAATGAAGGTTAGCCACATGGCCCATTACTCATGGCATCTCAGCAAAGACTCTGGGTGCCAGGATGGGCTTCCCAGGGAAAGGGTACCATCACAGGCCATTCCCAATAAATGATATTTTTATTGGAAAACCAGATATAGAGAGAGGAAAGACGGAGAGGAAGATCTTCTTTCTGCTGATTCACTCCCCAGGTGGCCACAATGGTCGGAGCTGAGCAAATATGGAGTTAAGAGCCAGATGTTTCTTCTGGGTCTCCCATGCAGGTGCAGAGTCTCAAACCTTGGGTGTCCTCAACTACTTTACCAGGCCACAAGAAGAGAGATAGATAAGAAGTGGAGCAGCCAGGACACAAACCAGTGCCATAAAGAATCAAGACGCATGCAAGGTGAGGACTTTAGCCACTAGGCTACCATGCCAGGCCTCCCCCAAAAAAATCCTTTAAAAAATACTATTATCCACACACCAGAAATTTAAAACAATAAAATTCCACTTTTAGAAAAGACTTGGGAGATCTTCCATCATTTTCCATACATTTTTTTTTTTTGGCTGAGAAATGCAAAAGAAAAGCAATTGAAAAGTAGTTTATAAAGTACAGGAGGATACATTCTTCAAATGTTCTAACTTCCAGATTAGCATTTCTCAACACAACACAGATTAGCATTATCTCTAGCACAAATACCAAGTTGGAATTGGTGGTTACAACTGCATGCCAGATAGTGATGGAATGCACACTGGCAAATTCTTACCAGAATTTGGGTTGTGTTCACCACTGGGAACACTGGCTGACGTTTTGGGGGGTAATGGTTTAATCACCATTGTCTGATCAGCAGAGTCCTTGTTATCCTGTGACATGTGAGTATCAGCAGAGGTAGGTCCCGTGACTGGTTGGCTTGCATCCCCCAATTTGTGATACATCATCTGGCTTCTGATTCTCTCTGTAATTACACAGAAAAGCATTAAAGTATATCGCCCTTGTTTCCAACTGTCTTCCAATACCATACATAGGGGAAGACTTGGAAAAATAGTAACTTCGTGGACAGTGATACACCTACCACATGAGTGTTGGTGGCAGTGATTGGTCCTACTTGCTGGCCATAGGAGAATGCATTGTCTATTTGGAATTTCAAAACAATACTTCAGCTTTAGGCAACTGCCTAGGTTGTCTTGTAGCTAGGAAAGTGTTACACTACTTGGAGAAAAATAGCCAATAGCTGGAGGGGATATAGGGCCTGGCTAATGATATGTCTGTGTTAACTATAGCAATGTACCAACATCGTCACAATCCAATTTTTTCTTTTATTAAAGATATCTGGGGAAGGTGTGGAATGTTGGGCCTGAACACGACACTCTGGCATCCAGGCCCACCACACCACTGAGCTGTGGTTGATGGAGGCTGCATCTCTCAGGAAAGGGACTCTGGGGACGTGTTGGAGTGGGGGTTACTAAGGGTATGTTTGACAAGTAATGAGTGACTTCTGGGGACTTCCACAGACATCAAAAATAAAATAAAATAAAAGTCTGCCATTTGCAACAAAATGGTCCCCACTAGAGAACATTATGCTCAGTGAAATAAGCTGATATAATAGGTAAAAATGTAAATACACATTCTCACAGATTGATGATATAATGGAGACAGCCAACCATGAAGCAGATATGTTGCAGTAGGTTTCTCCACTCCTGAACAAAAGGGGGACTTCCACTGAAACAGTTAAATATGCCATAATAATAGGGCACTAGATCTTAAGGTCTTGACACACTTAACTAGCAGAATGTTGGACTTGATTGCTGCTGAAGGACTACACTATCGTAATAAAATGACAAGGAAATCAGGGAGGAAAAAAGAGAGGGAGAAAGGAACAACAGAGGAGGAGATCCCTATTCTGACAAAACTTTAACATAGAAAACAATCATTTAAAATACAAAAATGGATAGATAAAAATAAATAAATACCATTTGCATCAGGTGTATCCATTTCTCCTGCTTCAGTTGAACAATCATGTGACTTAGCGACTTTCTTTCTTGTCCTTCTCAATTTATTCATTCTACTAGCTTCAGTCTCGTCAACTTCATTTGTTGCTGTGTCCTATAAGAGTTAATAAGCAGAAAAGTCAAGTAGCTAAATATTTCACTCATATTAATTCATAAAACAATCACTGAAGTACATTATCATATCTATTTTAAATATGAGGAAAAATGAGTAAAGAAAAAGCTAATTATCCTGGAACAACAGATTTTATAAATGAATGAGCTAGTATTTGAACCCAGAAAAACTGTTCTTAGAGTACTCACTTCTCAATCATTATTATTAAATGCTTATCAGTCAAAATTCTCCCTCACCATTGCTGGACTACTGGGTGCTGAGCCAAGGTCCAAAAAGGCATCCTTTGGAAACGAGAGTTTAACTTTTAACTCTGTAGTTGATTGTACAGAGGTCCAATGGTCTCAGAACAGTAGGACACTAGTAAAGTGCGATGAGTGGAAAGGCATGATTAAGAGTTTTTTGTCAGCAGCTCTATACCAATAAATTTAGAAATATTTCACCATTTGTCAAGCTTTACAGTTCCCCCTTGTTGTACACATATATTGAGCAAGTAAGTAGTGCCTGGTTCATACTAACTTCTAAACAGATGCTATGGTTGTTCTTACATTCATACACCATGCACTACTGAGGATCTCCGTTGGGAAGATACCTCAATTTTAGGTGATACCAAAGGCCCTAAGCATCCTAGAGATGGCTCCCATTGGGCAAGGCTTTAACACCCTAGCTAAGTAGCTTTAGATTCTGGACACTATGAACTAGATAAGCCCCTCAAAGCAACAAGGATTTTGAGGATCCTCAGAGGGAGAATGTGACCAACATACTCTTGCTCAGAATCTACCACATTGTTATTATTAAACAGACAGAATAGTTTTTTCAAGTGTCTTTCGTAGGCAGGGAATTGAGGACAACTTCAAGCAGAAGAGGAGGCATTGCAGTTGAAGATAAAGGTGAGATAAGCTTGGTTGGAAGAAATAGGAATGCATACACAGAAACAATTTAATTTCCATGGCGTGAGATAAACATACAATTCTAATTCATCTCAACTTTACAATTGTCAGTATTCTACTAAAACAGGTTGATTCTAGTCTCTTTTGACATTTCTACCAGAACTTTTTCTATGCAGATATTTTTCTGCTGTTATTTCCCAAGGGCTCCTTTGTGTCATAATCAGGAATGGCCATAAGGAATGCTTAATATTATAAGACATTTTCATAATTTATGTTTTTATCAACTGACACTTGTTCTCAACTGACACTTGTATTTGAAAGTTGCTTACATGTATTACTATAAGTTTGTCACTTTATATTTTAATTTATTGACATGGCCAAATTAAATAGAATGCTTACCCTAAAGGAATATTGCTAAGCATTAAATTTAGACCCTAATTTGACCTATGAAGTTCCAATACAGTAAGCAATGTTATTTAGATTCTAAATATCACTGACTTCATCATTTTCTTTTAATTTTCTCTAGCAGCTACCTTTTTAATGTAACCACATTAAAAACTCTGGTTTTGACCCTGTATAATAGCAGTATGCTACAGTGGAATCACAGTTTAACAACTACTCTGATTTTCTCAACAGTGGTGGTGCTTAAAAACAAAGCAAGCAAAAATGAATAACCCCAAGTTTTAACCTCCATTAAAAATTATGGGGAAAAAAGGGTCAATGTTTATCAAAGTTAAAAGAATATGTCAAAGAGGGAAAAAAGTTTTCAGTTACCTTAAATTATGCTTTTCAAAGAAAACAAGGAAAGTTTTTTTAAAAACATAAAACAGGTATTTTAAAGAATACAACACAAACTTCAATTAACTAATTAAACATTTTTATCCTTTTTAATCCAATATTGTTTGTAACAACACAGTCCAAAAAGACAATAAAAAATGTATGATCATGAATCCACACTACCATTTTTTTTTACAGCAGTAAAAACTTAAAAAGCAGTTTGGAGCAAAATAGTAACCGTTGAATATGAGATGACTCTTTCAAGTGGACTCATTTTAAATTAAATATTTCAGTTCTCCATCTTTTGTCACCTGGATCATCACAGTCTTCACCTTGTGCTTACCCTATATCTAAGTCTACTCATACATAGCTTCCATCACAGCTATTTCATGATTATTTATCTAAATCACAAATTTGGCCTTGTTGTTTAGCTGCAAAGATTCACATCACCTTCAACAAACATTCCAATTGGTGTTTTCTGAGGCCTCCCGTATGCCAGTTTCATCAAACACTCTGACCTTCATAACTGGCCATGCTTTACGCACAGCTCTTACCTTCCTCTGTGCCAAACCAGCCTCATCACTCATCTGGCCCCCATTGCTCTTCTCTTACTGGACTCCTATGGGGTTTTTTTGGTGGGATAGTTACCCACTCTTCTGATGACCATAAAGGATCAGCCGCCTGAGTGATTTGAAGTTCTCACTCCACATATCATTAATGTTCTTGTCTGGGTGCAAAAAGTCATCTCTGCATCTCCTGTCCTGTCTAAATGGTTATTTACTTAACTGATGGTAAATATTTTATTGTGCACAACTTATATTTTGGACATAAATACTGTGAAATGACTAAATCAAGTTATTTAATGCCTGCATTATTCCATATTCTTATTTTTGGGGGCAAGAATAGTTAAAATTGGAGGCAGGCATTTGGAAAAGCTGATGAGGACCCATTTAGGAGATCAGCATCCTATACCAGAGGGCTTAGATTTGGCTCCTGGCTATGCTCTAGGTCCTAACCTCCTGCTCATGGGTCTGCTGGGATGTACTGGTGATGCCTCAGATGAGAAGGATCATGTCACTCCCACACAAGACCTGGGTTGAGTCCCCAACTCTCAACTTTGGCCCAAGCTGGAGGTTATGAGCATTTGCATAATCAACCAACATAGAATTCTATCTATGAAATACATGAAATCTGTTTTTTATATTAACACAAACTTTAAAATAATGTTCAAAACTCTATTCCTTTAGCAATCTTCAAATATTCAACTATTAATATTGACTGTGGCCACTATAAAATAAAATGGATCTTCTTAGATTAACCCTCTTATATACTGAAATTTTTTGTACTTTGACCAACATCTTCCCATTCTCCCTATCTCCAGCTCATGATAGTCAATATTTTACTTTCTGAAAGCTTAACTATTTCCTACTGCAAATACATGTGAGACCAGTGCAGCATTGTTCTTCCTTGCCTGGCTTCCTTGTCCTCCAGGCTCATCCTTGTTGTCACAAATGATTGATTCCTATATTTTTAAAGGCTGTTCTAACCCTGGCTGCTCCATTTTCCATCCAGCTCCTTGCCTGTGGCCTAGGAAAGCAATCGAGGATGGCCCAAAGCCTTGGGACGCTGCACCCTCATGGGAGACAGTGTGGGAGGCTCCTGGCTTCGGATCGGCTCAACTTTGGCCATCGCAGCCACTTAGAGTGTGAACCAGTAGATAGAAGATCTTTCTCTCTGTCTCTCCTTCTCTATGTACATCTGCCTTTCCAATAAAAATAAATAAATCTTTTTAAAAGGGCTGAACAATATTTCATTATATATACATATATGTATCATATTTTCATACATTCATCCACATATGGACACTTATATTGATTTTAGTGAATGTTGCCTTTCTGCATAGATTATAATGAACTTGGGAGTGCAGACATCTCTTCAACAAATTAATGAAAGAGGATAAATACAAAACATTCATAACTCTCGTTGACTAGTAACTTACTGGGACCACTCTACAGAGCAGCGCATTTATTTATTTAACCAATACTTAAAGATTGTTTAGAATTGGTCAGTTATATGTCTAGATGTTCAAGGAAAATGTTAGAAATGAACAATATGCTGTTCCATGGAACAGAAAAGTAATACACAATTTCAAAAATGTATATGAGTAACTATCATATAAATGAAGAATATTCTAGAACCATTTTCCTGATGAGACAGCTGAGGTTCTGGCAAATGCAGCAACTCACCTGGCTTTATAGCTAGAAAATTGGCAGAATCAAAATATGTATGGTGTAAGACCCTCTTTTGCTTCTTCATGCTACTTAAAAACTGTAGGCAACAAAATGGTGGGAAAAAAGGTTTCCTTTTGTCAAGCACTAAATGTTGAACAGTTTTATAGAAAGAGGATCGAGAAATTCGGCTTTTTTTTCCCCAAATTTCTTACTTCAAGTAAGAGTCCAGGATTATATCTGTCCTTCATGGTGAAACAAAGCATAAGTAAAATCCACAAAATTTTTGCTAATTACAGAGAATCTTCATTTCATTTGCCATGATGGACATAAAACAGAATGGACTATTTGGAAAAATGCTGAGCTTTTCATTCCCAAGCACATTTGTGAAGGAATCGCATGGCCAAATGTCAGGGACAATTGGATTATTTCCAATCCTACCACCAACTTATCAATTATTCACCCTCACTGATTTTTAAATAAAATAACCTAGATCCAAATTGGCAAGTATTCACACACACCAAAAAAAAAAAAAGAAAGAAAGAAGAGAGAGAGAGAGAGAGAGCAATATTTGTTGTTAAATGCTGCTGTGTGACAGAATGTAAATGACGGTAGCTGCTCCCCACTGGAAGAGCTCTGGGACTTGTGTTCCCAACAATCTGGCAAATGAACAGCAGCAAATACATCCCATCTCTGGGGGCAAGGCAATCAAAATTTGCAATACAAAACTCCGTGCAAGGAAAATAAGCCTCAACAGTTTCATAAAAGAAAAAGCAATTTTATAAAGCTCTAAACCATGTATTTTTGTGGTTAAATATTAAATGAAGCCAAAATTTTGGTCAGTACTCTAGATTTGGTGCTAGCCCTGATTTTACTGAGCAGTTTCTTCGGCGAACTGAAAAAAAAAAAGAATCTATGCATTCACTAAAGAAATTAAGATTTTATAGCTAAAAATACATTTACCCGTGTACGTAGGGCTAGAATAATATAGGAAGGCATTGTAGATGGGCAAAAAATCCCAACACATTTAAAAGGTAAGAAAAGGCATACAGAGCACAAATTTGGGCTGCCAACTGCCAGCTGTGAGCCACTATCTTACTTTGTCAAGGGAACAATTGGAGAGAAGTTTGTAGTAGCAATTCTACAAAAAGAGGAATGCCATTGAACAGCGGGGACAATTTGATCACACAACATTGAGCAAAGCATTGCCAGTGACTCCTGCATGTGTTAGTTGGAGGTGATACTGTCTTCCTGAAGCAAGATACCCAGCAATGAGCAGAGAGGAAACACTATCTTAATAAGATAAGTAGAGGCTGCTTTGGCCATGCGCCACTGGGTGATTTTATTGGAGGGATAAATTCACTGTCCCCACTGACTTTGAGTCTGGCAAGAAGGGTTTGGATGTCACTCTGGACTCTTGTCACATCTTCAAACACTGGATGGAGCTTCCTGGGCCCAACCAGCATATGTTTCTGGAAATCTAGAGAAGGAAAAGACACTCCACTAAGCCACAGGCATATTTCAAAGGTTAAAGCCATCAGAAGAGAAAATCAATGCATGGTTCCATAAATTCATACAAATAAATGCAGAAACACAATAATCATGAATTATTATGGGGTGCAGCCAGTGATAGCCAGCACCCATTGACAGTGGGTGAATGAAATGTGGCTGTGTGTCCCGCCCTCTGTCCTGAAGGTGGGTCCTAACAGCAATGGAAAGTTAATTCCATCCTCAGCCAATCTCCTCCCCACCACCACCACCTAGGTATTTGCTTCTGCACACCTGTGGCTCACCTATCAATTGAGAGGGGACAGTATTGCATTGTTGTGTAACCACTACCCTCACAAGCCCATTAAAAGGCGTGTGAAGCGGGGAACGGGCTCACTCTCTTTCAGGTCAGGTGCTTTCGTTACTCTGGCACCTCGACTCTTGGCTGACCCAGGACAGGTCCCCTGATGGTCCCTATGCACTGCTTAGATTGGACAATGGATATAGTAATGTTGTTTCTGGTTTGTGTACTATCAGGAGGTCCAGAAGCGGTGAGGCCTAGCAGTGGTGGAATGTGGGCAGAGAATCCAGGGAAAGGTGAATGTCTGCAGCTTTGTAAGTGTATCCGGGTTATTCATTGCATGTCTCTTAGGATAACTTACAGTTTTGGGGAAGCTGGGACATAGTTTTTCAACTTAACAGATGGATTTAAGGGTAATGACCATTTGTTCCCCTTTGAATTATGTTTGGCTGGTTTACAATTGGTTGGATTGCCGTATGGACTTGTGATTTGCTATTGCTAGTATGCTCAGTTATCACCAAGCTTGGTTAATAAAGACTCCTTAATAAGCCTTAGACATGTCTGGTGCTATCTCGATCGCACCCTGGAACAGAACAACAAACAAATAGGATTCCCCAAAAGATATACATCACTACCTCATTATTAGAATGTGGAGATGAAGCAATTGGTGAAATGCCTGAAAAGGAATTTAAGAGTGATTATAAGATTACTCAGAAACACAAAGCAGTGCGTTTCATGTTTTTGAGTAATCCATACATTGCATGGATTAAAAATCCAAAGAAGATATATAGATATTGATGAGGAATCAAAATTAAATATTAGAAATGAAGAATATGTCAACTAGAAAATGCAGTGGAAACCTTTAAAACAGACTTGGCGAGACAGAAAGAAGAATATCCGAGGGAGAAAACAAATGTTTAGCAATATCTCATACAAAAAAAAAAAAAGAAGAAAAATAGGAAAACTGAAAGTAGCATTTGAGATTTGTGATATACCTTTAAACAACAAAGCATTCATGTCTTAGGAGCTACTGAAGCTGTGAATAGAGTAAATGCATTAGAATACATATTCAATAACATAACAGCAGAAAACATTCCTTTTTAGAGAAAGCTAGTGACGTCTAAATATAGAAAGTACATAAAATTCCTTATAGACGTGGTAAAAAAAAAAATCTTCACCATGAAATATGATGGTCAAAATTTCAAAAGTAAAGCATAAAAGCTTCTAAAATGTGCAAGAAAGAAACGTAAGATTATCTTAAAGGATCTCGAATTACTGATAGACAATAACTCAACACAAGCCACGCAAGCTAAGAGACGAGGAGAGACATAGTCCAAATTCTAAAAGAGAAGAGCTATCAACCCATAATACCATATCTAGAAAAACCTACATGCATAAATGAAGGTAAAATAAACACCTTCCAAAACAAAAAATAAATTTTTGAAAGAATTTGTCACCACTCATCCAGCCTTACAAATTAAACTTAAAGATGAGCTACAAACAAAAGCAGAGCTAGACATCCTCATCGTGGAGAAACGTGAAGGCGGAACAATCTAGTAAAAGTTCAGAG